AATGTCCTGTATGTAGTGTGCAAACAAATATAAGCTGCACATCTTAAAAGGCAGTTGAAACGGTCGAAATATTAATGATACCTCCAAAACCTCTACTAAAAAAGATATTTTTTTATTCATCAGTTTATTTGTTCTAAGAAGCTAGGGCGCAAGCATTAAACACTCATATATCCACCCAACATAAACACACGCAGAAACAATTTCACAGCTTACCGGCCTATCCGGGTCAAGTAACCATCTATTTCTGGATTTAATCCGCTCGTGATATTCGCCCAAGAAACATTAGAAGCGGGTATGGCTGAGAGTACACTCACCACACCGACAATTAGCAAATAATGCGGAGGACACTTACGAAAATAGTACGACAAACACGCACGGTAACTATTCTAATCTAATGACTGTGGTAGACGCATGCACAGGTGCCTAAACTTATCCTCGCAGTTAAGAGCCAATTGTCAACTGTACCACGAGAGAAATGGAACGGAGCAAACCTCAACAGATCTACATGATAGGCCAAACTGTAGCGGAATCACGTGAAAGTGAATCCCTTAGGGCCAGCATTTTGAATGTCGGTTAAGACTGATTGTGGTTAACTAATCCGATGTGAAGCTGTGAGTAACGTTTGGAAATTATTCACAGTCTAACCATGTGATTAGTTGACCAAGTTTTAACCGATACTCAAAATACCGACCATTGGTTGTGTAATCAGGAAGCTACTGGATATTTTGCTTTACCTGATAACATTCCCAAAGAAATAAACTGTTTTCCCAGAGGATGTTAACTCGCGCGTGATTTGAAACCTACATGAAAAATTGCAAACATGTAGTTTTATACAAAATTTTGATATGTTACGAAAGATTCTTCTGATCTAATATGAAATATTTGAAAATTAACACAAATTGGGGCCTCATCGATCTAAGTAATTCCAGTAGATATAGTATAGAAACTATAACAGATTTTTTCTGTAAATCAGTGATAAACAGGAACGTACTGATTAGAATTAAGTCATAATAAAAAATATCGCATTTAACCTAATCACCTACGGGCGTAAACTCGGAAATTTACTTTTAAACCGACCCAGAAAATATCATATATAGAGATTTTTTAGAATCAGATTGTCAGAAGCAGAAAATGAAATTTCACAAGAAATTTGGGGAGCAGCCTTGAAGGCAACATACGGTCCCTTTGAAGGAAAGGCAAACGAATGTCATATATATTTTTTAGCTGAAACACGTCGTAAGTTTTTGTAATCTCTACATATAAATATGTTATACCTCTGTTTACATGCGCAATATCTAGTAGACAACTATCATTCGCCCAACCACCAGACATATACCGGTTTCGAGCAAATTAATTCTCATCAATATGGTATACGTGAGACGTAATAATTTATTCGTAGTTATTGATATCTATTTACAGACATGGTATGAATGCCTAGGCCTTCAATACTGTGAAAGTGTCAGGGAAATAAAAATAAGTGCTGCACTAAGCGAAACAGAATTTTAACAAATATTATTGTACAGAACAACTACTCTGCTGACTAATGCCACGACCAGTCTTGAATTATATCCACAATATATAATAAACAGGTAACATCATTTTATATTTTGCCCAACATTTTTTTTTAAAACGAGCTAATTGGGTAGTCAAACGGAACACATTGTAGGCATATAGTTTTTTTTTTAAATACAGGTTTTTTGAATTTAACTATTGTTAGTTTGCTTTTATTGCCATTTAATTTAAATTTAATAATACTACTTATTTAGAAGAAGCTACTGAAGCAAACTTAGACACGTTTTTTTTTTTTAATCAGAAAAGCTTACAGATATGAGGAATAAAAAAAAACTTAATGGAAATTCCATTGAAAGGTTCAATTGTTTTGCTGAAAAAGAATTTTTGACATTCAATGGACTACAAATTCTAGATATACAACATTCTTTTCCTATAGATAGAAGGTGACCATTCTTCGCGGGAAACACTGACTATAAGAATTGCCATTTAACGATTTAAAGAGGTTACAAGACTCGACACCAGTGAAGGACTTGGTAGCGTCGCCTCGCCTATATTTGTGAACCGCTTTTGACACCCACGTTGTTTGACAACGCACCGCTATGCCAAGTCGATCAACGTGGTGGTGTCGCTTGTGTAATTTGCCCAAATTAACTATACGGATAAAATTAAAATCAGTCTTCCTACTAAAATTATATGGGACAAATTTAAAAGGAAAGCACAACAAAAAGAGATAAGTAACTGCATAAAATATTAAAATTTTCAGATGTCACGTTATCTCTGCTTTAATGAAGCAAGTGAAAGACTGATGCAAACATATTTATCCTTAGGTTAATTTACTTATTTCTTATCTGCATGCCCTACTAATGGATTGAAACTGTTATATTGTGTCAAGTTTTAAAATTATCTAGTGTCATACTACTTATTTCTGTCCTCAGTGACTGACTTTTATTTACTACAAAACTATTCTCTTAACATAAACGACCCTGGTTGATAAATTCCTAGCATATTTAAAAAATGAACGCCTATATCTTCACTGATATCAGAATCAAGAGATATATGCATTAATCTCTTAATTACCCCTACAAATATTTAACCAATGTTTTCATAAATTGTTTAAGGATAAAAACTGTCAATTTTATATTATCTAAAAAAAAATGTGACGTCTCCATTAAGTATAAATGCACTTTTTTATAAGCTACAACAATTGTTTCCTTCAACAATACCTAATGAGTTCATAGAATAGTATTTATGTACAAAATAAACATGCTTTATGATGACGAAATGGCCTAAGTATTAGATGAATATTTTAAAAGCATTGTCCTAACTTAAAAATGATTGTACAATCCCTTGGGATCGATCCTTCAGTTCAAGTGAAGAAGTCCTTATAAATCTATGTCACGGAACTCGAGCTTTGTCTTCGAGGTAAAATTCAATTTTGTAGGGTCGCCTCTAAAGAACTGCATATATGAAATGTCAGGAACTTTTCATAATATGCTCAAGTTGAAATGCACAAGAAAATAGACACTTTCATTGTTAAATTTTAGATACTTAGTTCTTGAAAACTAAGAATAAGAAAAAACTTTTAGCTGCAATTAGCTCAAATTAAAACTGATTCACTTACCTAATTTAAAATGTGTCAACGACCTTTTTATATAATTAAACACTTTAAACTTTTATAGCAGTCTTACAACAACAGCTTTTTTGACACTGGCATGGCCAGATGGCCAAAATGTTATGCCTTAACTGCAAACTCTTGGCCACAAAGTTAAGGTTAAAAGGAGATAGTGTTATTGGAAAAGAAACTGTCTTTAAGGGTGGGTAAAGGTAATCTCATAAAATTCAAATTATTGCATGAGGAATAAGGTTTCTTTTAGCAGGTAGCAGAAAATGGATTTACTGGATGACCACAGAAACTAAAAATTAAGCTACGTTCAATTTACCCAAGTTCCATTGTCTGATATACTTGGTCATAAATGTTGTTAGTTTTTTTTATCATATTATTACCCACATCTTATAGTTACCCTTTCAATAACCCATTTTAAAAATAACCAATTCTAAATACAATCTGCTACATAGTTCAAAGGAATGCGTTTAGCTTTTAGGAAATGAACATAAATAATTGTCAAGTTCTCATATTATAAATGAAATATGAATCACAATTTTACATAAATTTACAAATATGCTAATATCTTCTGATGGGAATTAAATAAATATGACGTGTGTCATGTGCATACCATTTAAATAAATAATATCCAACCGATTTTTTACGAACTCTTTTAAATTGCATCAACTGGAACATTTCAATAATCGATTTCTCCAGTAACACTGAACTGCTATTATATAAAACAGCAATCTTGCTTTGTAGAGAGTCGTTTTATGTACTCCCATTTAAGACCAACACATTCATTTTCTCGGTCTAAGTGAAGTGGAGACAGATTGTCTAGGCTAGAACTTGAAATAAAACGAAGTGTGCTAATTTTGAAATTGCAGTTGTCCATATTTCTTACAGTTGAACCGACATAGAAGAATGCAATTTGGGATAGTACTTTATCTTATCAACACCGATATTTTTGCAACTTTAACAATAAGTTTATAGAGAATAACCCCCTTACTTATTAGCAAAGGATCGCATTATCGATATTTCGCAATACTAAAAAAGAACACACTGTATACCTGTTACAAGGTAACAAAACATATAATTTTAATAATTCAATTATCAGAACTTAAAAAATATTAAGTTGTGTCTACATACTGAATATAATAATAACCTCACTGAAAGAAATGAGCTTATTAAACTGTTGCTATAAAATAATGTGTATAGCGCAAATTAAAACTTTCATAACAAATACACAACTTCTATTAAAATAGGTACCATTTCGTAAAGTGTATAAACAATAATAATTCAATGAATAATACGGTTTATAGTCACTGTGTTAGCAATACGCGTTTTATATCCAATATTGACCTGTTAATCTGTCACATATAGTATACAATATTCCTATAATGGCATTTACAATTCTAATAAAGAATAACGCCATTTCTTTCAGTGTATAATATAGATACGGGTGTTCAATTTAAGGTGGATTCTTACAAAGCTCTGGTAATATAATTAACATAAAGAAGTTTTCTAAATGTCTGTGCCGTAAGTGCCTCGTACTGTGCGAAAACCACATATTCATGAAAAAAATTATATCACTATAAACCTCCTTTATCATATAACGAGATGCAGGCTGATATAATTTTATTATTTGAGGAGAGACACTTGACGGTAACAAAATATTTAAAGCTACTTGTAATTTTAAGTACAACAGTGCAGCTCTGTAATAAAAATAAACGGGAATATGTGGCACTAAAGATAATCTCATCGTTATATGGAAAAGTGATAACAGGCTACTGCCTATACGAGAAGAAAAACAAAACACATTCCATGAAAATAAACAAGACTACAAAAAGTATTCAATAAATCTCGAAAGTGTGCACTTACTCACCATGTTTTTTTTTTATGTACATCGTTAAAAATTCTACACTATTCATTTTCACATTATCATAACTTATGGTCACGTTGGTCACTGCACTTAACTACAAATGCGTTTTATTTATTTTTTTTTATCAAAACAAATAACATGAACTGTTCAACACTCCAGTGACTCGACATCACATTTCAATCTAGAGCACTGATGTTAGATAGGATACGGGAAACTGTCGACTTGGTTGTAATCTCTAAAATGTTTTGGTTTGATAAAGGTGAGTATCCAGAATAAATAAAACTATGTATACAGTTTGGCATTAATGGTACGACAAACTATCGGTTAATAAATAAATAAACTGGTTGAGTTTTATGTTAAGTCTTCAAACAGAGGATATCAATATCGAAAAGTGGGAGTCAATACGAGGGAATCCCAGTTAGAAAAGATATATAACCGCAGTCACTACTTCCGTTTTGCAGATATGTTGTTTGTTAAATAATGATGTTTGAAGTAAAGGATAAGCTACAATTTATGTTGAAAACTAATTTAACATGTAAATAAAACCATTCTGGTACTTGTTCGGGAAGTCCTAGTACTATTAATATTAATAATTACTGAAATTGAAAACCCGAATGATAGTTAAAGTTTGAACAAATAACTGGGGTTATTCTGATATTAAACAATAACTCGTCAAGTCAAATACACGACAAATGTTTAAGCAATTCCCCTGTTTCAAGAGTATTTTGTATTTACACAAAAATTCAATAACAATGAAATCATTTATTATAAAAATTAAACACAATTAATTCCTTTTTTTAATTTCAATTCCCCTATTATTCAACAAATACAATTTCAAGTAGCACACACTGGTTACTTACTAATTGCTAAAACTGCTAAAACAGACACGTAAGGTTATATTTTTAGGTATCATCACTGCTAAAGTTAACTGTTCTATCTAAATTAATAATTCCAATTAGAGCAATGTTGTGTCACGGAACTCGAGCTTTGTCTTCGAGGTAAAATTCAATTTTGTAGGGTCGCCTCTAAAGAACTGCATATATGAAATGTCAGGAACTAAGAATAAGAAAAAACTTTTAGCTGCAATTAACTCAAATTAAAACTGATACACTTACCTAATTTAAAATGTGTCAACGACCTTTTTATATAATTAAACACTTTAAACTTTTATAGCAGTCTTACAACAACAGCTTTTTTGACACTGGCATGGCCAGATGGCCAAAATGTTATGCCTTAACTGCAAACTCTTGGCCACAAAGTTAAGGTTAAAAGGAGATAGTGTTATTGGAAAAGAAACTGTCTTTAAGGGTGGGTAAAGGTAATCTCATAAAATTCAAATAATTGCATGAGGAANACAAAAATTCAATAACAATGAAATCATTTATTATAAAAATTAAACACAATTAATTCCTTTTTTTAATTTCAATTCCCCTATTATTCAACAAATACAATTTCAAGTAGCACACACTGGTTACTTACTAATTGCTAAAACTGCTAAAACAGACACGTAAGGTTATATTTTTAGGTATCATCACTGCTAAAGATAACTGTTCTATCTAAATTAATAATTCCAATTAGAGCAATGTCACGAAACTATATTAATTTAACCTTTCCATTATTTGCGATCTAAGTATGCCTTCAATCCCCATCTAACTCCTGTGACAAATGAAGCAAGGTATTCGACACGATATCAATTTGATAATCAAGCTGGCCAGACGCAAAAGTCGATGATAATCTGATTGACTAACGAATATGACCATTACAATCACAACTGATTATGTCAATAGAACCCTTACTACTTGTCTGCCTCGTAGAGGAGGACAAATTTTTGAGTTTGTTGCAATCAACAGGTATGTTAAGCTTATACTAATATTAATAGTTTAGTCATGTAACTAAGAAACTATATTTAAAATAAGTTTTTTCCTTTTTTCCAGAGAAATAGACAACAATGTGACCAAAAAATAGTTGGCAAAAGTTTTGAATACTTGGGAACGGTTTTTCCTAGTATCACATTTATCAGTCGATTAAATTTATGTCTGTCAGTCACTTGTACATACAATTTTTACGAAACAAATGTAGATTTAATCGATGAATAGAATTTATCTGTAGTTGAAATGCCGACACTTAACTGATATGTCAAAATGTAGAAAACAGATGTCTGATTTTCATATAACACCAAAACATCGGCAAATAAACAAAAGGTGTTCAATTGCTGCTATACACATAATTAAATATTTATTTATTTCGTATATTATTCGAATTTTATACAACTAAATTTACACCTAGATAACATCTTACATCCATATTCAATGAAATGAAACTGTCTTTCCTTTGGGATTGTTCGTCTCAAATAAACTCAACTCAGAAAACATCAGATAGTTGCTAGGTTTCAAATCAGGAGAATAAGCAGGTTGTAGGAAAATATTGTTATGTAAGGTATTCTCTATCTGATTCTAAAGGTTTTTATTTTTCACCGGCGTGTAAAGACATGTTTCTTCCTAAATACTTTAATTTTTGATTATTCGAGACCAACTTGCGTTAAAAAAATCTTACTTACAAAGATTTAAATTTGACTTGTACCAAAATTGGCAACGAAATAACTGCTTCCTATTTTAACTACTCCCCATGAAAAACTATATGCACTCATATATTTTTAATTTATTGTCCGTTTCAAGTTCAAATAAATAATAGTTTTATAACAGGAAGAATACCAAGATAATTACCATTGCTATCTATTCAAGGAATACATATGTACTGTTAAAAAACATGTATGCATAGCAAAATTTTAATCAACCAGGAAAATCCAGTTCTACCCGCAGGAAGTATTTGTGGCAATCCGATAAAATATGTTTTAATTCAGCAGTCCCCAACTTTTTATTAACAGCCTACCATCGAAACATCGATACTCAAATAAGTTATATAAGGTGTATAATTAAAATAGGTATTTGATCAATATTTAATTGTGGATCTATACATGAATAAAGTACTTCGCTTCGTATTTTAGATACAAGGTGTTCAAAATTTATAAAAGTATGTCTTTAATTTTAATTTACCGAAAACAATTGACAGAATCCTGTAAATAATATATCAAAAATAACTTGAATATTGACATTTTTAACAATTTTTACTTTTATTTCAAACATACTTTTATGTATTTTTTAGAACTCTGCTATAATAGAACTCAGTTTGAACAAGAAAAAAATGTTCACTGTTCAAACAAAGTGCACGATATAAAAGGACTGATAGGTTTATAGTTTCTGGACAATTAAACAGAAGGTATATCAAAAATTGGAATCATATTCAATTAATTCAAGAACAATTAAGTCTGGTCAACAATTTTAGTTACACCTAGCAAACTAACCTTATCCCCTTCTTATAAATTTAGATTATAATATGTGTGTAACTAACACATTTAAAAATTTGAGGAATATTCGGGGAAATACCTAATTGCATCAAATAACTTGAATATGAGGTGTCAATAAACCACATTTTACGTAAATTAAGTATTGCATATTCATTGATATGGATTAAAGTTCAGAAAAATACGCCAATTACTTCGTCCAATTTTAGTTTTTATTATATGAAAACCAACCGAATCCCGACGAAAAGAACGTAAATTGGTATAGCTAACGAGAATCATACATTGTCAACCCGTTTTTTTATTACATATTTTTTTTGGTAATTATTAGATATGACATTTTTATTAGATATTGCTGATGTAATTCACTGTTGAACGGGACTTTAGTTCGCAGAGTAGTTGTTCCCTTTAATGTTTTTAGTTATTAATTAATAGTCTGTTTCTTTTTAACATTCATTGAAGTTGCTGTCAGAAGGCACATATGACATTTTTAGGAAAATATTTAAATTTGAATTAACTAATACCTTTTAAATATATGGTATTTAAAATGTATATGACTAAACAAAATCATGGCGTTTCTTTCTCTTTAAGATATTCTAACGTTCCATCTTGAAAAGATTCTTAACTTTCGTTAGTGTAATTCTATGTGAGAAGTCGTTTTTTTCTAAAACATGTAAAGGAGAAAAGTAAAAATAATATTTATTAATTACATATTTATTCCAAACTGAATAAAAGCATTGCAAAGAGATTTGAAGAAATTCGAAATGGTGTGTGGTCTCGAAAATTTATATTTGTAATGTGTTTAATACCGGATACAGTAATTTTTATCTATGGGCGCTGTACAACATATGTGCTATTAACTTGTAAGTAAAACGGTAACTACCAACATATTTTAGGTTTTCGACAATTTCTAAACAAAAGAATCATTTAACTACCCGTATTTTACTGTTATGAGTTGGTATATACGTCTCTAACATGCTCTGTTGTTTTTTTTATGAAAGGTGGCTCACTTTAGACTGCTCACCATGGAATGTTGGAAAGAGAACTGGTTGGTTGAATTACATAAAAGTTGTGCAATGATAAGTGCTTTGCAATGGTTTCAATGTCCTTATACCTAAGTTTCATAGGTTTTTGAATAACTATTAGAATTTCTCCTAAAAGTGCTACTAGAATTTCTCTAAACCTAAATTTTCAGTTGGAAATATCAACATTTTTTATGATAGACATGACCTCCTACATAACGAATACAAGTCAAAATTCCTTAGAAATACAAAATATATCAACTAAGATGTTTTCATGTAAATACTGCCTTCGACTGCCTCATATTAAAGCTAATATTGATCCCATTATAAGAACAAACAAGACCCTACATCAAATTTCTGAGGATAAAACACAATATAAACCGTTTCCAAAAATGTTTCGCAAACATTTCAAGTAATACTAAACACACAAAACAGATTAATATTATATATCGGGGGAGATGGTAAGCAGACCAAGGTCTTCATAGGGAAGAGGAAGGATAGCAATTGGATGGTGGATGAAATTAATGTAGTTGAGAAAAATCAAATATTTATTATGATTAAAATTTGTAATATTTCCTTAGAATGAAAAAACAAGCATTTCCGTTTGTTAAGTAAGGTCCTCTCTCATTTTTGGGAGCCTGTATACGCCTGTGCCTAGTATGAGTAATGATCTAACTATGCTTCCTATTCTGTATTTACATTAAAATGTGTCACATTTTCAAACCTCTCTTTTAGTCCAGTCATTTTTTTTATTGCAAATAACATATAAATAATCAAAAATCCTCTTCATTCTAGTCTTCCTTTTTTATTCTATTCCTAAAATTCCTAATTCTATTCCTAAAATATAGCTATAATGCGTATTCAGCAATGCTTCAATATACGTGTTCTGATATCTGCAAAAATATGTGATTGGTTTTTTACCCATAACTCGC